TAATTAATGAATATTTTCCGTAGCGAGATTGAACCTCGTCCACCACTTTGCGCCTGAGTTCAGGGTCGGCCTCCAGGGAGGCCACATACTCCTTCAGCAGCCTCTGCGTTCTCTCGTCAGAAACATAGACGCCGAATTGTTCCGCGTCGTCGATATCCTTCCTCCCAAGTACGGCTTCAAGAATCTGAACCAGAAAACCGCAAATCCTCATGTTGGAGTTACCATCAGTGATGCCATGGTGAAGACCCAGGAACAATGTGTACACGTGACGAAACTTTTGTCGTGTCAACCCCCTCTGGAACGACTGGAGAGGAAGGTGGCTCTGAGAGGAGCTTCACGCACCACAGAGGACCTTTCATCAAGTCGTAGCGGTAGGCCTGCAGACTATCGCGTATATCTTCTATTGAGGCATTTGAAACAACCTGAGAATAAAAAAAACGTTAGCATTGTTATAATGAATTAACGACCGATATGTATTTTATTCTACTTTGAAAGATGTTCTGCGATCGTTGATGAGCATCCTAATACCTATGTATTTAAGACACTCTAAGATGTACTAAATCTCAACGAATAAATACCGTCATCGACTATATATGATGCATACCTTTTACTTTCTTAGAGCAAGACTTCTTTTGAAATCGTGTGATTAATTTCCATAGAATATGTATGACAACAGTAGACCTGAGATGAATCGACTCAAATAATGCAAAATCTATAAATATCATGCATTGTCTTTAATAACGACTAATCACCATCGTTAGTATTATAGTAATCATTCTCACTGTGTTAATAAAGAGGAAAAAATTGACAAAGGCCTCGTGATAGGACTAATTAATATATCCACTCGATGATTCAATGCAAAACACGATATAGTGATTGAATTAAGGTATGTACAAGCTGCAGGGATCTGTAGTGAGTATACGTTCATGATTATTACAAATTTGTTCATGTACTAAAAGTAAGCAACAACCTGCTATAATAATAATAATAATAATAATAATAATAATAATAATAATAATAATAATAATAATAATAATAATAATAATAATAATAATAATAATGATGATAATAATAATAATAATAATAATAATAATAATAATAATAATGATAATAATGATAATGATAATAATAAAGACACGAAGAGTATGTGTGGACGTCTTTGTATTTATACATGTGTGATTAGTAATAGTAGGTGGCGGTTGTATTAGCAGTAGTAGTAATAATGATAATAATAATAGTAATGATATTGTTAATGGCAATGTTAATGGTGATGAAAATAATAATAAAAATAATGATGGTAATAATAATGCTAATATTAATAATGGTAATAATATTAATAATGATAATAGTAATAATAATGCTAATAATAATAATGATGATGATAACAATAATGATACTAATAACAACAACAACAACAACAATAATAATAATAATAATAATAATAATAATAATAACGATAATCATCGTCATCATCATCATCATCATCAACATAATCATATTCTTAATCACAATGACGAAACTACAACAATAATAACAAAGGTAATGATGATAATAATGATAATAAGAAAAATGACAATAATAATGATAATAAGAAAAATTACAATAATAATGATACTGCTACTAATGCAACTAATAATAATGATACTTACACTAACAACAACAACAACAGCAACAAAACAACAATAACAGCAACAACAATAACAATAATGATAATGATGATAATAATAATAATAATAACAATAATAATAATAGTAATGATGATGATGTTAATGATAATAATGATGATGATAATAATAATAATAATAATAATAATAATAATAATGATACTACTACTAATAATAATATCAATAATAATAATAATAATAATGATAATAATAGTAATAATAATCATCATCATAATCATTATTATCATTATTATTATCATCATTATCATTATTATCATTATTGTAATTATTATTAGTACTATTATAGTGGTAATAGTGATGATGATGATCATTTGTAACCATCCAAATTACTACTTCAGAACCGCCGCAGTGTCGCTGTCGGGCCTATAAGATAATGCCATGTAGATAATCAATAACCATGACCTCTAGAGGTTAGAGATAGTTATCATTATGGCAGAACAGCATAAGGAGAGTAAATGGAGAGTGATTTACACTGTGTCCGATCAGTTATATAAAAAAGCAGCTCAAACTTTCAGTCCACTTCAGAATTCAGGGTTCAACCTAACCTTGTTTATGGTACGGTGAGCGAAAAAAAATCCCGTCTGAGTATAGACCCTAGGGGCGATTCTTTTCAACCTTTCTTCAAACAGAATCACACGAGCGACTTACCTCAAAGTCTAACGCTTCTCCCGCCATCTCTCTGATCCACATTTCTCCATCTCGTTGGCCAAAACAGACTCTCAGGAGAGGCACCTTCCTGTAAGCGGGAGTTTGCATTAAACCATTAATATTAACCAAACAGACGCTAACGTTCATTTATATAATAATTGGCGATA